TGCTTCTCTATTTCTCAGGGAGAGGAAATCTTCAGGCTTGATGGGGGAGGAAGGAGGAGGAGAAGGACCAACTGTTTAAGTTTGGGTGGGTGGGAGGGAAAAAAAAGGGGGAGAAGACTGTTATTTTTCAGCTAAAGAGAGAACAGCGCATCGCTGGCCTATTAATAATATATCCCAATTGATGCTTGGGGCATCAATAATTAAGGGCAGTTACAGTAATTACACAATTATGATGACGATGAATAATTTACTTGGGGAAAGAGAGATGGAAGCGCCCCTGTGCGAAAAAGGTGAAAGGAAAGGATTATGGGCTAGCTGATTCAAAGGCATCTATTTCCAATCCTTTCAGCGACAGACCGTGGCTTGTCTGTTTGAATGGGGTGGTTGGGCCTCTGCGTTACCTGTTTGCTACAGGTAGAACTGCGAGAAAGACAGCAGAAACCGAGTGTCAATTCCCCTGTCCCTCTAATGATCCATTTCAGAGATTCTTGATTCTCAAAAACATCAGAGCCATTTTTTGAGTCTTGGCACACTTACCTTCCTGTAAGACTGGCTGCTTTTGCTGACATGTAAATATTGTAGGAGTTCAGCCTGGCATTCGATTTCAACTTTTCCATTGTCCTCAACAGAAGTTTGAATCACTGTGGAGAGCGTCCACTGCCTATCCAGAGTAGATATGAAATTCGGGTACGGGTTTATATTCATGTCATGCTGGAAAATCTCTCTTGTTTTACTTCCCCTTCTTCGGTTCGTGGAGGGTGAATGTGTTTTGGGAATTTCTTTTAAGAAGAAGAAAACGTCCATCTTGAATGGAGTGACTACATGAACAGGTGGGAATGTCCTCTCCAGCTTGGCCAATCTTTTCTCAGAAATTAGCAGCCTTCCTGGCTTCCCAAAAATCCACATTTTTCAGATTAAAATGGGCAAGCAGTCAAGGGGGTTTCAGAATGATGGGAAAACATGAAAACAGCAGCTTTTTTTGATATCCCCCAAAGCAAAACCTGTTCAATCTGTTAAACACACCAGGACAAAAATTGAAAAACAGGTTTTTTTCCGAAGCATCCTGAGAATAAAGTAGAAAAACAGAAGCCTCTATCACCAGGGAAGAAAACTTTTGAGAAATGGCGAGAAAAAAATTAGCATACTAGTAGATTATAGTCCTCTCTATCCATTTATATCAGCCCTAGTGCTAGGTATATAAAAAAAACCTCCTTTCCTTGTTTGAATTTTCTGAAGCTAATCGTCAGGGCTAATGGGCAAGTTTAACCCTCTCCCCATTTTGCTTTTTCTCAAAGATGGGTCCTGCAAGAAGCAGACTCTGGGGCAGAAATCTAGGTCCTATGCAACAGAAGGAGCAGGAATGTCCCAGTTTCTAACTGCCCCATTGCTTTTCCAGACATGGTTGTAGAGAAGGCCAACCTTGCCCAAGAGAACAGAGCTACCTCAGAAAGCATAAAACCTCTAGGTAGTTTTCCTCACTCAGTATGACTTGAGCACTGCAGCTTAGCAGTGTGTTGTCGAGTCTCTGTAGTAAATTCTGTAAGAGAGAGGTTTGCTTTTTCAGCCTCTCCCTCTCCCTCTCGCTTTCATGGAGGAAAGTAGTTAAAATGGGTCAACTGACTGAGTTTTCCAGCAGCACTAACTGGGAGAGGTATGGGGTTAAATGTAATTTTCTGGGAGCCAAGTGGATCTATTGATCCCTTTGTGGTGTTACGGTGACACATTACTCCTACAGGAATTAATCCTCTTGCCATGTGACCTAGTAGAAGAGCAAATTCATGAGAAGCCACCTCAAGGAGGGCATGGAGAAGAGAACCTCTAAGCCAGTGTTTCTTCAACTTTTTTCTCTCAGGACCCCTTCCCACTTTTAAAAATGATGGAAGACCCCAGAAGAGCTTTTCTTTGCATGGGTTATATTTATTGATATTTACCGTATTAAAAATTAAAATGGAGGCATTCCCTGCCTCTCCCGCTTCTTCCAATTGTTTGATGGGATTTTAATATTGGGTTGTTTTTCAACGTAGACGGGCAAATGATTTTGGTTTCGAGGACTCCTGAGAGGGTCTTGGGGGACCCCCAGGGGTCCTAAGACCACACTTTAAGAAGCACTGCTCTAAGTAAGTCTCCTGGTAATTTTGTGTCCCTTCCAATGTGGGACATTGGATCTAAGTTACCTTGTCCTCTAGGATAAACCATGTTCTCCTCCATGTTCCAACTCAAGGAGTGGTTCACCTGTTTCCCTCAGACTAATTTGCCGTGGTCATAATCTCAGAAGCCCTTGGTTCTGTCCCTTTTCTGGTTCTTTGGAAGGAAGAGATGGGGGGTTCAAAGGAAAAAGATGGTGCTGGAGAGAGGGGGTAGCCCCACCCTCTCTGCCCCCACCCATCCCTTGTATCAGCCATGTCCACCAGGGGTATCATTCATCTAGATATGGTGGACTCTTGAGAAAAAAGAGAAGAAATTCTAACTCCGGCATGACTGTGAAGAGTCAGGAAGAGGACCTTGATGGAAATATGTAAAACCAGTTCCCTAGACCAAAGGGGCTGAAACATTTTTTGAGTCCAGAGCAACGAGATAACATTCAGAAGCGACTCAGGCGGACACCTCCCTGATTCACTGGAGTATGGGGGGGGGGGGGGG